ACAAACATCCAACATCCAGTGCTGTAGGCATTCATCCATCAGTTTTGCTGCGGGAACATTGCTTAACACTGTGTGAAACAAGCCTTTACTGCTGTGAATCACACTCCATTGAATCAGATCAAAGGAATGATCAGTATTAGAACTCAGATGGCAGAAACCGTAAGTGTTAGAAATGTGTGAATCTTCATGTGTGGACATCAGAAAGATGACTTTTGATTTGAGATAGAGGTAGGGGTCACTATATTGCCAGAATTGCCATTAAAAATGACATTGTCATGCACAAGCTAACCTGAGAAAAGCATCCTTGCCTGCGGCTTTTTGAAAAGGCTTGTATTCCTGCAGTTGTTTTTAGTTCCTTGCCGCACTGCACTGGGTGCTGCAGACCCTGATACAATTACAGAAAGATATAAGTAAATACAGCACAAATGAATATGTGTTTATTAGATGGAGACGGTTCTGAAGATTTCTTACTATTAAACAGAGTTTTGATCACATTAAATGATGCAGTGTCTCTTTGTTTTACAAACATGAATTGAAACAGAAACACGGCCTGTGTCTGCTACCCTGCTCTAAGACAATTATACTTTGAAAGTTTTGAGTGCAGACTTGGATGGGAAGACACAGTCTTTGAATGAATTGTACTTTGGCTTGATGACTGTTTTTTGTGAAAAGTGTTAATAGTGCTCTTGTCTAGTGAGGCAGACCTGGATATCACATAAATTGTCTGCAAGGCAAAGTAAACAAATTCCATTTTCTTGAGAAAGAACAGAAGCTGGTTTAAAAGATTCAGACCACTTACCTGAATAGCAGGTTAATTTGTGTAGTTGTAGCCATTCTCCCTCTTCACTTGGCAGGCTTGGGAGAAATGCTGCAGCACGTATGCTGGCATTTTGGCAGTGAGCATGTTCCCAGGAAAATGGAACTGCTCATTCAGCATAGGAATGTAAGCTTTACTGAATATATTGCTGATTGTACCGGATGACTACTTTAAAACAGACTGACTTCACGTTTCTCAAGCAAAGAACTGTTGTCACTGTTTCTTTCTTGTGAGCCATTTATGAGTTGTCTTGAGCTAGCAGCACGTCTTCTCATTTCATTCACATGTTCAGTTAAAGAATGCTATTTAAACTGTTTTTCAAACTGAAGAAAACCCACATCTTTTTCATGTATGCAGTTTTTTTGCCCACAAGTTCATTGAAATGCCTAGATATTAAATTTCAAATAAGGGAAGGGTAATTTAATATACTGGGTATGTAATTGCTTGCTTTGTTTGAAGATATCTGTCCTATATGTCATGCTTTCTCAAATGTGTTTTCTTTTTACTTCTTGTTTCTCTTGGTGCTGAGATGTCCACTATGGTGTGTGACGAGATTAAATGCTGTCTTTAACATCAGCTTTTAATAGCAGCCATAGTATTTTATGCTAAGAAGTTGTTGACTCAAAATCAAACTAAAGACATTAAACAAATGCAACTGCATCACAATTTGAGAAACCTGACCAAATGTTCAGTGCTCCCATGGACAGACACACAGTTTTTACTGGAAAACTGTTCTTAACTCTGTGAGTGGCAGATAAGAGCAAATGTAGGAGAGGATTTAAGTTGTCCCCCAGTATAGAGTATCTTAAAAAAAACCCCAAACTGAATTGATGGTTTGATAGGATTCAGGAGCGAAGGAATGAAGGATCCTCTTCCTTCCTGGAAAACCTTAAGCTAGCAGTATATTTTCCTTTCTTTGAATAGCTTCTGTAATACATCCCTTGGGTAAGGTAGGAGTGGATTTAAAGACAGTATTTTTCTAGGGGGTTGTAAGAAGTAAATGTCATGCTTAATTCTGTCCCTCCCGCCCCATAATTAAAACAACTGAATGTACATGTTAACTTTTCTGGACTAGGATCAAGAGTGAAAAATGTCAACCTAAGCAGTTTTTTTTTTTTTGGTAATAGTTATAGCTGAGTAAATACAGATTTTAAATGCAAGTTCTATTCTAATGATTGCTATTTAATAGGAAAATCTTAGCAACACCTATTTACTTATGAATTTGATGCCATGCACTGCTTTTTAGTTTGTAAAATAAATGTAGTATATGTAAAGCAAGTGCCACTCCAGTCTTATTAATGTGAATGTGGAGATATAGAGAGTTCCTATGCTCAAACAAGTAATTGATTTCAGTCTAATAGTTTTGAGCAGCCATACAATAACAGTGTAATGAACAGAAAACAAATGGTCTGTTTTCTCCACACATTACAGTAATTCACAGATGAGCTGTGAAAATACGATTATTGATTTCTCCTTGGCTTGGGTTTTTGTTAGTTTACAGGTCAAGCAATAATTGAGGAGAGTTTGATTTCTTTTTTTCTTTTTTTTTTTTTTTTGCAAACAAGCAGAGTTAGGTAGTATATACTTGACATGAAACACCATCAGGACAATAAAACTGAAAGTTAACTTGTCATGCTGATAAAGCAGTTAATGCTGTGATTTTTCATTCCAGAGATTAAGGCCAAGGCCTGATATTTTCCTGACACTAGTGAGTACGTCCCCTGAAGCCGTCAGAACTTTTCTCAGCTTTTTTGTCTTTATCTAGAGCAGTTGTTTTCCACTTGGTTGCAAGGTGGTGGTGGTTAACAGCTTCCAGGTATCCTTCCATTAAAGAACTCGAGGTTGTTCTCACAGCTGGCTGTGCAGAGTTTGTTCCCTCTTAAAACATCTCTCTTAATGTGAGGCTTTGTGAGGTGAGCTAGCAAGAGTTTTCATCTGGTGGAGGAAAAAGATACCAATCCTTCATGTCTGCTGTAAAAAGTGGCAGCCTGTCTGTATACCATTGCCTGGAGTCAGTTCGTGGGATTAAATCACACATGTCCAGACAACTTCTGTCTCTTTAGGGTTTTGGGGTTTTTTGGTGGTGTTTTTGTGTTAGTTTTGTTGTTGTTTGGTAGGTTTTTGTTTTGTTTTGTTTTTTTTGTTTTTATTGAAAAGTGCAAACCATCAGAGAGAAGAGTGGTGCCCTGTGTCAGGCTATGGTCTCCTTTTTTCTCACATGGTCTTTGAAGTAGAATTTTCCTTTTTCTTTAATCTTAGAAGGTGTATACTAAGTCTTTACAAATCAGAGTGTGTAACCATATTTAAAGTTGAGGTTAAAAAAGAGTGAAGCAGGAATAAATACTGCTTAGAAATGCAGATTTCATTGCATGTTATTTGCAACAAATTATATATGTAACTATATATGAAAGGGAGTCCTTGGAGTTCATAGCCACTTTTATACATTGTTGGCATTTTGAACTAAAATTGGTTTGGCCACCCTTGAGAGCTGCATCTGCAATAAGATTAAAAACTTACGATCAAAATGAGGAATAACCATATATAAACTTTGGCAACAGCATATGCAATAACCCTTTTAATTCCTTTGCCAGTTTTGCTTTCCCTTCTGAAACGTCCGCTCTGTATCAGTGTTTGCTGTAAAAATTACTCACATGTCCATTAATCATATTAAGGAGGGAGGCAAAAGAAGCTTGTTTAAAGGAAAAAAACTATTATAAATTTAGAATATTTAGTAGAGCAAAAAGTCAACGTAAACTCTAACTGTTCTCTTAGGCCCCTTAGTGAATGTCCATACAAAGACTGAAAAATCTGCTTTGTAAAGATAAGAGCTTTAATTTCCAGAAACATAGTTGAGGTGCTGCTAGCCTTGAGTGTTTCTCATTCCACAGATGCTTTGGCTTTCGAAAAAATCTTTGAGCTTGTTTTCTTGCAAGGTCTCAGCCACTTCTGCATTCTCCATCCTTTTCTGGCTTGGTGCTGTCAGAGGAAAATGGTGCAAGGGAAGAGAAGTTTTGCTTCTGATTAGCAAGCAACACTTTATCCTTGGGTGTGTATATGTATATGAACAGTAGAAACTCAGGCAGCTACCCACCCACCTCTGAAACAACCATAGTAGAAGGAGTTGAGCCAGAGGCAGAGCACTGTATGTGGATGGGTTGGGATAGTGAGGGGAATAGTGGAGAAACACGTTACTCCAGCTCCACTTCCATCCCTGTGTGTGTAAGTCCACCCCTGAATGCTCTAGCACAGCTCCCCTGCATCCCTCCAAATAAATACTTGCAAAAGAAACAGTGGTTAGTGCTTCCTATTTCTCTGGTTCCCTTCTCAGTTCAGTTTAACTTGCTGCAGAACGGATCTTTTTAGCTTCCTTATTTCCTTCTTTGGGAAAGATGGTATTGTACACCGAAAATAGCAGTGCTGTCCCTGTGGGCTCTACAATGCCTATCATAAAGTTGGCATGTTTAGGTTTTGTGTGGCAAAGTTTTGCTTGGGGCTACAGGCTAATGCTGTGTGTTGGAGCACTGCAGTAGATTTTCGTGGGCCAGGTCAGGAGTGCAGGACTCCAGATGCGGAGATCTGTCTGAAGACGTTGCTTCATAGTCCCTCCAGCTCCACACCCTGAATACTTGCCTTGCCTTAGGTGACCCAGCAAAACTGAAAAATGTTTTCTGTGAAGGTCAGTGCTTGCTGGAGCTGGAGATGTGCCACTTGGCAGCTTAGATGCAAAGCAGCAGCTTAATGCTTCCCTACTCTTTTGGAGTAAAAGCTTGCAGGGGGGTCGGAGCACACACCACAGCACTTGTTGAAAATTGGTTATGGATTCTAGGTGTGACAGATAGTTCTTTCAAAATGAAGGTCTAGTCTTTCACAAGTGCTTTTATTTGCATATGCTAAATGCTAGTTTGTACAGGCATACTGTGTTTCTTATTGAATGGACCTTTTGCTGGTCACTGACATATAGTCCCAGGCAAAAACCAGTTACTGAAGAAAACTGGTTTTGCTGGAGGGAGTTATAGCAGAAACTCTGGAATGATGTGTGGCTTGCTTTGTGTGGACTTAGTGTATCGAATACTTTGTAGTTTTTTTGTTTACTGTGAAAGCATAGCCCATGCTGTTCCAGATATTTCTCTTGTTCAAATTACAACCTGATTTTTATGTTTTTTTTTTTTTTTTTTTTTTGCAGGCCAGCCCTCCAGATCTCTATATTGAAAGATTTAACGTAGCTCTTGGACAGTATATGGGAGCATTGCAGAGCATTGTGCCTCTTTTCATATATATGGTAAGTTTTAGAGAATTATTTTCAAATAATGTATGTCCATACACAAGATGCTAACAAAGTAAAAAGAGTGAAATTCAGCCATAATGATTTTTAACTTGTAGAACTTACGATTCATGCCTGGTTTTGCTACCTGCATAACAGTACTGATCAAGTTGTGTGGGGAGAGAAATGGGAAGCTGTGCTTTTAAATTTAGAATTTTGCAATTGGTTTCTGCCCTAATATTTTTTTCACGGGGGTGGGAGGAATGTTTTTTCTTTTGATTGTAAAAAAAGCCTTCCCACATAGGTGATTATGGGTATGTTTTTGAACAGCTATAGTTTATTGGCTTGCTATATGTTGGTTTGCTAGTTTGGGCAGGCTACAAAGATGATTGTTTCTTGCTTTTAAGTTGAACAGATTCAGGCAAGACAGAAAAAATGTCTCTTGGAAATGTCTGTGTCACTTGATAGAGCAATTCAGAGCATTGACTGGATGGAGACAAACTTATAGTCCAGTCAGGCATACTTGCAGAGGTTCAGAAACCACTGGCTATAAGTGGTTGTTTTGCTGATTTTATAATGTATGAAGTCTTCTATACCTCTGAAGTAGTTTATAATTTGCATTGTTTTTGTCAAAGTGCTAAGACTCTTGCTGTGGTGGTTTTTTTTTTTTTTGATGGTAATGAATAACTTAAGCTTGAAATTTGCCCTTCTCGCAGAAACTGTCCTTGCATTGGCATCACTTAGAAATAAAAACTAAAGAAAGTATTTTTTGTGAAAGACCTTTTTTTTGTTAAAAGAAAAAAATACTTAAACCAATTTGAATAGAATAAACCTTAAACTCTTTAAAATTACTCTCATTAGTAGCTTCCCAGAGTTTGGGAAGCAGTATATTTTAGAAGGATCTACTATGTTTCAGTGAATACACCTGAAACCAGGTAATTTGCTATAGTCTTTCAGCGTAGTGTCACCCTATAGATTTGTTGCATTAGTAGAAGGATTTGCCTTTCTTGAACTGGATATCTTCCAATGTACTCTTTATCTAGTTAATACAGAATGAAGTCTCTTGCTATAGCTTTACTTGTAAGCTAAGGGATGTGTTCCTGGTCACGATTTTTATTTTCCTTCTGGTTCCTGTCATGAAATGCTGGGGAAAAAAACTAGAAAGAGACTTTTTCTCCCTATTGCATTCAGGTGTATTTAGATGATAGCCTTTTTTTTTATTTTTTTTTTTTTTAACCTCTGTATGCCTCATATGTTTATTGCAGACCAGTGATTAAGCAACTAATAATTTAATTTCCATTTACAAATGGAGTTAAGCTGTTCAGGTGTGTACTTTTATTGAGTGCTCAGATCTGTCACTGAGGTTCTTCCATTACAGAGGTCAAAATCTATCCTTAATGTTTAAAACTCCAGTAACTAACATCTAAAAAAATGTTCATGATTTACATATAAACAGACAGGTTTTGTCATTATAAGCTTTGTCTATATGACCAGACAAAGAATAATTGCTGAATAGATTTCTGTATCTTTCTTTCTACAAAGTTGTGTTGTGGTGTTTGTACCTTTTGGAGTTTTGAGTATAACTGATATCTGAATGTAGTAAAAATGGTTAATGAGTAATAAACAGACCTGTAAAATGAATAGGTAGATAGGAAATTTTTTTTTGAGAACAAAGAAGAGTGAAAGTACTCTCATTTAAAGCATGACTAGTGATTTGTTCAGGCAGTAAAACTCTGTTCCTGTAAACACTTTCTCATTTAGGTGACTTAATTCAAGTTAGGCCTGAGAGTTAACATAGAATCATAGAATAGTTTGTGTTGGAAGCTTTAAAGGTCACCTAGTCCAACCCCCCTGCACTGGCAGGGACATCTTCGACTAGATCAGCTTGCTCCGAGCCCTGTCAGTCTAGTCAACCTGGTCTCCAGTCTTTCCAGGGATGGGACATCTGCCACCTCTCTGGGCAACCTGTGCCAGTGTTTCACCACCCTCACTGTAAAAAAAGTCTTCCTTCTATCTAGCTTAAATCTACCCTCTTTTAATTTAAAAACATTACCCCTTGTTCTGTTGCTGCAAGCCCTGGTAAGAAGTCTCTCCCCATTTTATAATCCCACTCTAAGTATAGTTAGTGACTTATGTGTTAGTTCTTCTTGCTGCCAAATGCAACGCTGATTTGGCTCAGTTATATAGCTGGTTTTAAAGGCTAATATCAAATCAAGTCTCAAACCTTTTTCTCTGAAATAATGTATTAATCAGTGTTGTACATGATGTGGAAAATTTCTCTAGAGAAGTCAGGATGAAAAATGTTTATCTCTTAGTTTTTTCTGTATGCATTTGGAAGTACTTCCATGTACAGCGACTCCTGGAATTTTTACATTGTAGTATCTAATCACGTTTTCTCATACGGCAGCAGCAGTTTCCTTTATTTTGACAAGAAAATACAATTAAAAACAATTGCAAGAGGCGAAAGCCCAAGTATTCTACAGCATAAATTACAGCTTTGCAGTTACTTTAATAGATACTTCCAGTATATTTTTAAGTGGACTAAGTTGTTGAACTCTGCCTTTTTATCAGAGGTGGCAGAGCTTTCCTTTTTCGGTAGTGATGATTGCTTTAATCAGGAGTTTCCAAGGCTGCTGAGTTGCACTGATAAACTTTGTTCTGAAAGGATAATTGTATTGCTGCTTAGGAAAACTTTTATTATGCTTTTAAATATTTAAAAATCTATGAAGCAGAGGAAAACCTAAATGTGTTCTTTACAACAGGAACGTGTTGTTGTCCCTTGGTGACCAAAAAAGGCGTAGTATTTTGCCTTAGGATTAGTCCTCTGTGTTTTGATTTCAACAGCATCACTTTTCTTCTTTTTCTTGATATGTGCCAAACTGTATTAATTTCTTAACCTGCTTGTATATGGTGACCAAGGTGTGTTTTATAGCTTACGTTGAGTGATGGTTGAGAGGCCTGACTTTGCAATTGAGAGAGTTTTCTTTTTCCTTCTTTGGTTAAGAGCACTTGTGGTTTTCTTTTTCACGTGGTGATGGATTTTTTTCAGTCTTATGCTGCTCTACAGGACTTTTCAAGAAAGCATGGTTACCCAGAACACTTTTGTCCCTCCAGAATTCTGTGGGTTTAAGCTCTTTCAAAAGTTCCAGGATGTAACTGCAGACAAAGCAAATTAAACTGGAAGTCAGCTTAGCACACAGTGCTTTATTCCTTAGGAATAAATTCCTAGTGAGTAACTGTTTGCTTTGTAAATCTAAATGAGGTTATTCTGGATGCTTACAGATTTTTACTTATCACAGTATGCTGCGCGCATGAAGGAATAAAAATCATATTTCCACTTCAAGAAAAATTAAAATCGGCATTTAGATGATACACTTTTCTAATAGGTTTTCAGTTGTTAATTATACTTAGAGATGTAGCTGAAAATCTGTTATCTTGTGGTATTAAATGAGCCTAACATTTGTGAGCACTGTGGTTTAAGCATAATTAAGAATTTTTTTTTTATTGCCTCTAAAATATTCTTACTGGGTGGTATTGCACTTCATTGCTTATCAGCTAGAGGGCATTTTGTGTGTGTCTGTACACAAATATATGTGAGTATATATATGTAGATGAAATAATAAGCACTCATACAGATTTTTCTCTTTCAAGTATTTATTGCTATCCTCTTAATATTAACGTAATTATGTGTCTTAATGTTTCCCAGATTACTTTATGATATGGTGGTTTGTAGAAGAAATGCTTATATCATATCTGACTTTATCAGTTATTGATATCTGCTTATCTTTTACCTGTCAGACCTTCAGGTGACTTGACACACTTTTCAAGAAATACTGGTACAGCATAGGTAGTGACATAAACAGAAAATCTTCCTGTTTTTCCACTAACAAGAATGGGGAAGGTAACAGCTCTTCTGATATCTCTTTTCAGTATTGTGGATTGGAAACGAAGTACTTAGGTGATTTTTCATTGTCTCTTTAAGTCCATGCAAGTGTAACATCTTTTTGGAAAGGTGTTTCCAAGTAAGCAAATGTGAAGAGTAGTTCTGTGTGTAAGTTCTGCATTGTAAGTCTCCTCTTTGAAACTACTGAGGCTTTTTTTATTGCTTTTCTAGTTATGAAACTTAAAGTATAGGCTTTCCAACTCCTAAACAAAGGAAAGCATCACAGTTTGCACGTGTTGTTGCTAGTTGCTTTTAATGTAAGAAGGTTTGGAGGCTGAGAAAGGAAGAGACTAAGTTATCTCCTTAGCTGGGTGCAGTTCATCTGTTGGCTCACAAGAATCAGAAGTTTGACATTGCCAGGTTTGATTCAGGTCAGCAGATCTGTGCGGGGATGCTCTGGTCGCTCGTGTGTGTTGCACCAGTGGGTACGAGGTAGAATGTGGTCAGGAAGCTCAAGGAGGAAATGGTTTAAGAAGTTGGGTCTGATGAAAGACTGTAGTGTATGGTGTGTAGCTTAACACTTCCTAGAAGATGTGTATTTTCAATTGCTGTGAATTTCTGTTGCAATGGCAATTCCATATTGACCAAAAATGTTACAAATGAAGTTAATTTGTTTCTTACAAGACAGGTTATTCTGTCTGCAGAGCCTTTCTCTGAGTCTCTGTTCAAAGAATGGGCCCAGGTGAGGGGGAAACAACAGTAATAGCCCTTGATAAAACCTCTGCAGGTAAGATAGCTTCAGGGAGGGAACTGGCAGTAGGAAGTTACTAAATTTAAAAAAAAAATCTTCTTAAGATTGCTGTCATCACTGCAACAAACGTAAACTTCAACAGGGTCATGTATTCAGCCCTCAGTTTGCCTTTGTTCTAACAGATTCAGTTTTCATTAATGGTAGATAACTGCTGCTGAATGCTTGCCTTGAAAATTTAAGTGGTTTCTGCATGGGCAGTTTCTTATGCTGTGTGTATAGTTTTGGTAATGGCCAAGGGTTTCACAAAAAAATGTAAAGATTGCTCTAATAGTGTTTTGAGGGTTTGTTCCAATTATGTTAAATGCTTCAGTGAATATGAGGGCAACTTGATTTAAAGTGTGGAAAAACCTTTCTCCCTTAAGATATCCCTTCCTCTAGTAAATCTCTCAGATAAGTGTTCCAGTACATTATTTTTGATTAAGTTGATTTTCTATTACTGTATCTGTTTAACTCTTTCATATAAGTTGAACAACTGAATTCATCTGGACAACTTCCATGTTAGTGTTGTAATGATAGGAGATTTATCTTGAAACAAATATTTTTTTCTAGCATTTAAAACTCACCTATGAATAAAGTACAGACAAGAAATCTTACTATTAATTGCAGGCTGGGAACTGAGGAATAACACCAATAGTACATGAGATATAGAGGCCCTCAAGGAACTCATGAATAGAATTTCCTTTGAGGGTTGACGAGGTGAATTTATTATTAATGCTGAGTGGGTCAAGATAATTGAATCCTAAAAATTTTAATGTAGTTCCGCTTTGCATAGGCTTGTGTATATCACTTTTTTCCACAGCTGATTAATTCTGAGTAGCAATCCTCTGAGATTATCGATGAACCACAGTAGATAGCTGTACTGACGATTTATTATTGTAACACACCTTTTTTAATGGCTTAATTGCTTTTAGGCATTGGTAAAAATGTTTCCTTTTGTTATAAACATGGTGTCCAGCCTTATTTTGGTGTTAGAATGTTTATAGAGTTCTAAAATGAAGTATTTTTTTTTTTTTCTACAAACTCCCCAGTCTGGATCAATATGAAGATATATCTGTAGATATAGGGGAAGAAAAAAAAATGCACACCTGTATGCAGGTTTGCTACCAGTAGTATCGCATACATTCTTAATTTCAAATATATGGGGTTTTGTTGTACAGGAATGTTCTATTTAGTATAAATGCAGTCAACAAGGAAGCACTTTACAGGTCAAATATTCTACAGCTTTAAAATTGTGTCCTATTTTTATTCATGGAAAAAGTAACTTTACTTTGCTTACTGTTTTGAAAAACAAACTTGAAAACTACTGTCTTATTTTCCAGAATAAATTTTACATAGAAACCAAGCTTAACAGAGACTTAAAAGATGACCTTATAAAGCTGTTTACGGAACATGTTGCAGAAAAGCACATTTACAACCTAATGCGTAAGTAAACCTATTGAATTTTTCTTATAATGGGAGTCTGGAAAACCTCAGTACTTTCACATTTTGCAGAAATCCACAGCAAATAGGGGAAATATGGAAAATGATTAGTGAACTTAAATACAATTTCCTTTTTAAGGCATCCACAGGAAGAAATGTGCCATACTTCAGCTATTTTTTTCAAAAATACCACTTTGTATGAAGTCATGGTTTTCTTGAGTATCTGGGGGAGCCATCATATGTTTTCCCTGATGACTTGTGATTATGACATAACAAATGTTTTATTGTCCTGTTGCTTGTGCTGTTATTCTTATTTTTGTTATCCAAATATTGACAGGTATTATTAAGAATGCGGTGTGGTCAAAGAACTGTGATACTGCTGGGGTTATTGTCATGATGTACTTGAGGACTCCCTGCTAGTTAGTGAATGGCATAATGCTGACAGCAGGTTCTCTGTTAAGCTAATGGGTTAATGCAAATAGAATATGCTTCAAGTGATATACTTCCCACTAAGTGCTCCTGTGGGTAACTCCTGTGGCAAGCCACCGAGTTTGCCTGCAACCCGCTGCCATCGGTGTGAGTTAGTGCGAGCCTGGGGACCTTGCTGCTGGCCTGGTTAGCTCCTCGAGAGGGCAGGTAGCAAAGGCAGAGATAGTCAGACTTGGAGTTCAAATTAGAAAAGTTTGCAGAGTGGTGAGCAGTTGACCAGTGTGCTGGGAGAATTGCTACTGTAGATGCTTTGTGCAGCTGGATAGTTGCTGATCCCTGTGTTGAGTTCAGTATCTAGCCTGGTGTATTCCTTTCTGGGCCCCAACCCTCCTGCAGTGTCTCTGCTTTCATCTCACTGCTCCCCTCCTCTTTTCTCTGAAGCAATTGCTATCTGTATGCTAAATAGAGACCAAATGAGGGGCGATTAAGAGTGAGTATATTTCTCCTTTTGCCTTTCCTTGGGTAGTAATGCCCTTCTCTCTCCAGCGAAGGGCTGGGGGAAAGGAGCTTTGCTATGTTTTTTAGGGTCACTGTGACTTGGCATCCTGGAAGGAGAGTGGGTGAACAAGGTGGCTACCCTGAGGTTGGGGTGCTTGGTACCCTAGGATCATGGGAGATCATCACCTCTGATGCCATCTTGTTCTTGCCATCTGGAAAAGTCTCCCTAAAAGCTTTTAGCCATGTAGCAAATCAGATCGCTTTGGAAATAGCAGGTCAATGAGGAATGCTAACCCATGGACCTGATGTTTCATTTTGTGCCAAAGAGGTTTAACGGTGTTATGAAACCTGGTAAGATGATTGCTGCAACAGAATCATGAAAAATTCAGAAGGTATTGCCTTAAAATTAACTTAAAATTTTAAGTGTATGCATTTTTCAGGCAATAGAAACAATGTGATTTTTTTTTTTTTTCAACGACAAAGCAAATGTAACACCAGTCAAATCTTTAGAACATAATTAAAGTCAGATGTGTATTGCTATGTAATTCATTTTCTGTTGACATTATGAGGATCAAATAGAAATTGCAGATGAACTATTTAAAGGAAGAGACCTGTGGTTGTGTGTGTGTGTGTGTAAATCTGAAATGCTTCTCCTCAGCTCTGTGTTAGTTGCAGAAGTAAAATTAAAAGAAAACATTAAAAAATAAAAATAAGCTGTCACCAGCTGTGTTCCTGAGTATGCGGCTATTGTTTAACGAGCAGCTTCCTTGGATTTCATTTCAGTCTCACTGTAAGTTCATTAAAACTAAGTTAGTTATTATCTTACATCTAAGTAGGATAATATATACTGAAACGTATGAAATCCTACCTGTGATCTGACTGGGCTAATTCTTGGATAATAGGATCTTTAACTCAATTTAAAGTATGCCTAAATAAAATTCTAAACTTGCTAACAGATTCCTGGAAATAATTGAAGACATGTAGCACATGGTATAGTGCTGTAGAGATGCTGAAGAAACTCTAGTGTTGTGTTATTGTCTGTCATTCTCAGCTGTCCTTTCTAGCTTGCTGAAATTCAGACCATAATATACAAGAATATTATCTTCATTTTGGAAAGTGTAAGGGTTCTATGAAAATAGGATATAAGTCAGTGTTTGTTAATTACTTTACTTCCCAATTTAATTGTCGGTGTGTGGTACTGTTTCCTGATATTTGATATAGATGTGGTTCAACAGAAAACTGCTTTTCAGTATTGGGGGGAGTTGGGAAGATTTTGAGTGAGTATGCTTAGGAAATTAAAATCAATGAAATTGTGGTCTATATAGAGGAATGGAATCCTGGGGCTGTGTTTTAAAGAGATGCTGCAGCTGCTGCTTCAGTGGGAAGCAGCATGCCTTCCCTCTGTTTTGAAAAAAAAAAACAAACAAAAAATAGGTTTAATCAGTTTGTGATCTAGACTCGGAGGGTAAGATTAACATCTCTCTTGCTCTTGAAATTTGTTGCTATGTTTTTTGTCCAAAGGGGATTTTGTTTGTAGTATCTTGTCATTCTATCAGAGCCTGTAAGCTGGCATTTCTATTCGAAGCCGTGTTCAGGAAGGACTGTAAGTACATTGCAGCTTCATTTGATCTAAGAAAAAGTTCCTGCTCCACTTCAAAAGACGGGAGGGTGGGGGGAAATGTCAGAAGTGCCGTGCCGTGCAGATCTCTTCCTTAGTGTTTGATCTTGTTCAATCTTCCACTGGTTGAGTCTGCCCTCGTTCCTGTGCTGTGTGGTTGAAGGCAGGGAGATGCAAAATAAACTCCTGGTACAATGGTCTCTGTGGTGGAAGCACTTATCTGAGCACTTAGTTTCAGAAAATACAGTGATTAAGGTGTGAATTTATTATATACAGAAGGAATACTGCCTAAATGAACTTTACTTGGACAAATTTTGCCTGCACAAACACTGATTTGATTATTTTTTGATAGAGGAAATATTTGTGTGGTTTGTTTTTTTTCTTTTTTTTTAAAAAAAAAAGCTCTGCTATCTAGAGCACTTCTGAGCAGTTAAAATACATAAGAAACTGTATAATATGGAGATCCATGAACACAGTTGTGTTCGTGAAACACTTTTACATTCACACATATTTATCAAGTCAATGATCTTCAAATTAAAGTGGGTACATTTGAACTAAGTGTATATAACCCCAATATTTTTCTTACAAAGCCAAAGGTGGCTTTTGCTGATAAAACTGCTGTATTAAATGGCTTGGGAGGTGTTGCTATGTGCAGATCTACTTAACTGTGGGTAACAAGCAAAGATGTAACATCTTATTTACAAGAAGCTTCAGAAATGGAGCGGGGGAAAAGATGCAGATAATACCCCATTGTCAGTAAGGAAGGGATGGTAGAGAACATTGTATTCTTGCTGGAGTCCTACATCAGATGACTTTAAGCAGTAAAACTCAGAAGTACGCGCTTTCTCTCCTTATGCAGCCACTACCTGTCTTCTAGTAGGTTAGACCTGGGTTTCCTGGACTCTAATCTCAGTGCTCTGGAAACATCCTGCCTGTTTGTTTTTACGTCTAGAAGAATAGCAGTTATTGTAAACTTTAACTGTCTTCAGTGGTGAAATTGAGTAACAGCTCTTGAAACTCTATTTCTAGTACTTGCAGTAGGTAAAATTCAATGGCAGAGAGTATTTGCAAGTAACTGCTACTGTTCTCTTTTTGGATATTGGTAGCTTAGTGCCAAAACCAAGCTTGCTTTTGAATCTAACAAAAAAAATCTATTAACAGCATACTGTTGTTTCTGCTTGGCAAACAGATCACTTGGTTTCCAATTTACAAGAGTTTTCAATTACCCCTGTTCCCTTGCCAGAAACTAAGAAAAGAGGGTGACTGCTAGGCCGGGGTCTGGCTCTGGGAGGGTTGATGAGGTTCTCAACATCTTGATATTGAGAAGGAAAGAAACAATAACTTAAACTGGTCATATGAAAGCAGTTTTAGAAGGCAGTCTGAGGAAAAGAATTCTCTTTAATTTTTGCTTATAGTGGTGTTTGTGGGGGAAGTAGGATGTATCAGATTGATTATAGCACTTCCAAAAAGTGTGAGCCTTAGCATATCACTGTAGTACTTAAGCCATTTATATCTCTGTGTGTGTGTACAAGCTGTTTCTTTACTTTCATGTTAGTATTTTCAGTTCAGGAAGTGGTTTCTACTCTTGGAGGGAGGTACTGGTAGATATCATTCAGTATGAGCTGGTTCTTCCAAAAGAAACATTGGCCTGTACTTCTGGATGGAAGTTACTCAACTAGGAAGTCAAGTAAACTCTATTAGAGGGAAAACTGCTTTCTTCAACAGAAATTCTTCTGATTTTGTTCTTGTTGACTGGGGTAAGTAGTGAATATTTGCATGTTCCCATCTTTGATCTGTTGTGTCAGGAATAGATCATAGAAACACGTCCTTTTTATCCAGAAGAGGGGAAATATCTTGGGCTATGGTGAAAATGCTGTAGGATACATAGGGCCCAAGATGCCATGGGTCTTAAAATTGTTACCAGGATCCAAGGTGATAACATGGCCTGTGAATGAGGAAATTTCTTTACTGATTCCGAACTAGAGCTTGAAAACATGTGAAATATAGGCAAAATTCTTACTGAGAATTAATGCATTAGATCTAAGCTTCTGACTGTCTTGGATTTTTGTTCATGATATATATCAAGATGATCACAGAATTAGTTACTGAAACGTGAGCATATAGAGCAGTTAATCTGTATGTAGATTCTAATAGCATGTAGGCAATTGGTGAGTGTAGTTCTCCATGTCAGTGCTTCTGTGAGTTCAGAGCTAAAACCCAGTGCAAAGATGTTTTGCCTGTAAAAGTAGCAGCTTTTCTTATGGTTTTCCAAGATATTTTTTTTTTTTGTAAAAAGGCTGGAGGAGCAGGGAGGAACCACAGCCTATTTCATTATGTTTGCAGTTTCTAATTAGTTTCTGGGAAAAATTTTTCTCTGAAGATTCTTACATATGACAGCTTTGTTTCTTCAGTTATGTCACTTGGATTCAGTTGTGGTGAAGAGATCTTGCTCCATTTT